CAGAGGTGTTTTGTTTTAGGGCTACCCACTTTAATGAAATATCTCACAAATGTCTTCAGGGGATTTCTTCAAATTTGGCTCAAAGCTTGCCATACTGACCATTTTTCACATTTGTCTGGATCCTAAATTTTTAACACTTTGGTGCTGTTTGTGAAATGATTGTTTCTTTGTAATAACACTCATATTTGAATCATTGTCTGCTCTCACGTCTATAACTGTCAAAGAAGGCCAAGTAATGCTGTAGTGACAAAGTGTGTGTTTGATAGCAGTGTAACTTGATTGGTCTTGTGACTGTTGTCAAAAAATAACTGTGTGAATTAATGTTGCAGAGGCTACAGTATTCACTCAAAATAAAAACTGACGCTCTCGTTCTCTCTGTGTGATTGAAGGTTTGCGGGAAACATGGACCGCACGGCCGCCAAAAACCTATTAATGTCACGCTCTGATGGTACCTTCCTCGTGCGGCAGAAAGATGGAGGAGAGTATGCTATCAGCATTAAGTAAGACATATATCAGTTAAAGTACTGTTTGATTATCTATCTGTTGATTTGAAGATGGCCAAATTACAAGCAATTTTTTAAAATATTCTATTATTGGTCCGATTGCATTTCAAACCTTAATTGTTAAAGGATAAGCTGCATATCTGCCCTAAAACAATAAGAAAGAGCACTTTTTTTTTTGCACACGCTGGAGAGATTATATATCTCGACTGGCCAAGCTAGAGGAGGTGGCTGGGGAGAGGGAGGTCTGGGCTGCTCTGCTTTGGCTGCTGCCCCCGCGACCTGGCCCCCGGATAAGTGGAAGAAAATGGATGGAAGGATGAACATCTTTTTGCATCAAAGGAGCATTTAACTTAATAAAATCATACAAAACGTCATCAGGAAATATACTGCATTGTCATCCTCTTGTAAAATAAACCTCCTCTTTAAAAAGTTCCCCATCCAAAAAACGGTTTGGAAATTTGGAGCTGTTTCACCAAACACGTGTAATGCGTAAATGTGCAGTAAACGAAGTATCACTTCCTCTCAAAACCAAGGGAAACAATCCAGACTGACAAAGCATTTAATGCATGATCTGTTTATAATTCATGAGCCAACAAAATCCATTCATCTTTGCAGAAGTGAAAAATTCTCAATTCTGTCGTTGGAGAGCCATCGCTGTGTTTGCCGTTCAGCCTCCACGTGGACTGAGTTCCCAGACTGTGGCTTTTAATATTCACCTCTCTCCTCCCTCAGGTTCAACATGGACATCAGACACATTAAGATCACCTCTAGTGAAGGCCTCTACCGCATCAACGACAAGAAGGCCTTCAAGGAGCTAGTAGTAAGTCATACACAGTCATAAAGCTGAAGCACTGCCTCAGAGCAAGAGAAACCAAACCTACCGCTGAACATTATCTTTAGTGCTGGATTGCTGCTGACCTCAGCTCCTCCTCTCTAACCACAACTAACATCTCTCTTACGTTTCTCACGCTTCTTTTCTCCTCCCGCCCCCTCCCATATTAGGAGATGATTCAGTATTACCAGCAGACCTCATTGAAGGAGTACTTTAAGGACCTGGACACCACACTTTGTATACCTTTCAAACAACCGGAGCAAAGCAACCTGTCTGACAACATGCCCAATTTCACACCAGGTACAGAAGATCTCCATCACCTCCTACAGTCCTCACTGTGATCACCAAAGTCGTCCTCTGTGACTTGCAAATGTCTGTGCAAAATGACAGAGCAACCCACCTCCTAGTTTTGGAAGTGCAGATCACTACAGATCATGGAGCTCTCATATTCATTTTTATCACGTTTCTTTATTTTGAACAAAAGCAAGAGTCTAGAAATGACTTTATGATAGCCGCATGAGTTCTTTTTGCCATCTCCAGTCTTTATTGTAAGTTAAAATCTGCTTTAACTCTGTTTAACATGAGTGGTGATGATAACGCTCATGAAAACTCCTCTGCGAGGAATGGGGTAAGACTGTTTCCCCAAAACTATTCCTTTAAGCTGTTCCATGCTGCAATGTGGGCTCTGTCTCACAGGGGGCAGCATGAGGAGCTTTGGCGTCGCAAGGGCCAGGTATGACTTCTCGGCCAGGGACCGCTCCGAGCTCTCGCTGCGGGAAGGAGACACCATCAAGATCCTTTCCAAGAAGGGTCACAGTGGCTGGTGGAAAGGAGAGGTGTACGGCCGGGTGAGAGCACGGAAAAAATGTAAAAAATATTTTTTTTATTTATTTGCTGTTTTCTTGTCTGACCTGCACTGCTCCTGTGTTTCCAGGTGGGGTTCTTTCCAGCCAACTATGTGGAGGAGGATTACTCTGACTACTGCTGATGTTCCTATGGATGTGATATGTAGACTCGTTCTCGATGTGTAGGGGTCTGTGTGAGGGACTGCATTAACCAACATGCAGGAGTGTGGCTGTGTGTATGAACGAGAATGCCAGTAGCTACTTGTGATTATGTGATGAGTGTCTAGTGATGTGAATAAAATCTCTGTTCAGCCAGCTTGATGATGTCTGGTTCATGTATGGATTTTAACCATATCATTATATCTACTCGAAATTTACAGTTTACAACACCACCTCTGTGTTGTTTTTAAGCTCACGTTTAAGTGTTTGTGTGATCTCATGTGAAATTAAATTAAAAACTGAAAAAAGGGTGTTTAATGTACATCGTGTATGCAGCGGATTTCCGATTACCAAAGCAGCAAATGTGACTTCATGTGGTGCAGTCTTAAAGTTAAAGCTAAACCTAAAGCTAACTGACAATTCAGTTCAGCTCGATTTTATTTATAAAGTTCCAACATTTGCCTCGAGGCGCTGTGTAATGCAAAGCAAAGACCCAAAAATAACAGTGAGACAGTGAGAAGGCAAAACTCATTTTTAACAGGAAGAAACCTCCAGCAGAACCAGGCTCAGGGAGCAACAACAACAAATAAAAAGGTTTTAAAAAGAGGCCGTGAACAAGACAGTTTTCTTTATTTGGACTGCAGTCTGCAACCCGTAAGAAACCAGGAGACCAAGAACATCAGTAGACCACCAAACACAGAGAAACATAGTGGGAGGTTGGGGGTTGCGAAGTAGGTGTTTAGTGGTTAAAAGGTTTAGCCAGTGTGGAGGACTGACACTAAAACCACTACAAGAGAAACGAGTACATGATGATTTGTTTCTGCCATTGTAGGGAAAAGGTGAAGAACAGTATGTGTGAACAAGTGCCCTTACTCTTTCTTTACAGTGCGTGCATGTAACTAACTGCTGTGTTATTATTAATTATTATTAGTAGTATTAGTAGTAATAGTATTACAACAGAGTATTTTAGGCTTGGTTTGCTGTATTGTTAGAAAGTAATGCATAAAGATTTAGAATATTGTGTCACGTCTGACCTCTCCCTCAACTTCAATAGATACATGTGAAGGTCAAAGTGATAATAATACTATGAAGAGCTATTGTAAACCTTCTTACTGCTATTGTTTGTATTGACAGCATATGGAGAATGATAAATGGGGATTCTAATTATCACATTACTTTGGACGTTACTTTGATCTCTTCTTCAACGTCAAATAAGGTAAAACTTGCCTTTTATTTTTAAAAATGATTCAAATTCTTGTATTGGCAACAATTTGGAAATGATACTAGTATATAGGGATTCTAATTATCACATTTGACGTCTTCCCTTATTCAGCAGTTGTTGTTTGTCTTTCCACAGCTGTGCCACGACTGTCCTCTCATTCTTTTCCTTCTTTGATGCAGTTTTAGTAAAAGGTTTACATCAATTGCCAGAAATGTCAGTTAACCTAGAATGACTGTTGGCTAAAGCTCTGAAGTGTTGGGACAGACAATATTATCCATGTCCAATAAGACTGAGTCTATAAGTAAGTGATTTAGGTCTCCATGGCAGCAGGACTTCGCTCTCACTTTGCCAAAAGTGCTGCTTCCACTTCAAACATGTTGGATGGCTTTGTTCAGTGCAGACATGTTCTTACACACCAAACTAGGAAAATGTTTGATTATGGGCCTGGTTTTGTGCCCACATCTGTGTTGTAATGCTAAATCTAAAATCTAAAACAGAGTTGCAGGCCATGGCACTTCTTTGTAGTAGCAGCATTTATTTAGCTGCAACAAAGGTCAAAGTATCAATGCCGCGGGCTTCCTGACATGTAGAACTGCAAAAATAGTTTACACAATAGACCTTTTATGAATTCACGCTGATGCAGTGAATACAAGCAGGTGGTTTTTGTACTATAGCTGTCTTATCTGATCAGTACACTACAGAAAGGTTTCTAAAATAAAAGTACATGTTAGATGTACAAAGGTCTTATAATTTCTTCTGAAATGTGGTCCAGTACCAGAGTAATGTGGTAAAGAATGGTTTAACATATCGAGGTTAAACATATAGTGTACAGGGAGTTTTAGCGCTCATACCAATTCCCCCTGGTTGCCAACCCCAGCTCACAGTCTGAGAACTGCTGCCAAAGCTGATTAATCAGTTAGTATCACTTTTTTAAGTCAAAGGACTTTTTTTTTTTGTTGAAAACAGCATTTGTGTAAATCGAACTTCTGCAACGCATATATGCGATAAACTCATTAGCTATACTGGTCTTATGTACAGAGGTAAAGCTACATCTAATTAAAAGTTTGTGGAGGAGTTGGAGCAGAAGGCCCCTAGAAAACCTGATGGTCTCTATTTGCCTCCACTGAAATTATTCATATACATCCCCACGTGAATGGTGTTGGATGCACAGCCATAGGCAAATATCATTGCCAAGATCCACTGAGAAGTTTGTAAGTCCCATTGGCACCAATTAATCCCTTCTACTTTCTACCACCAACATCAAAAGCAACTAACTCCATGTTTTTTTACATGCTTTTGCCCAACACTTTACCTTCATCCAGCAAGCTGGAAAGCAAAGAGTAATTTGGAGAAGAGTTAGCGATACATAATGTTTCCCAGTCTCACCCAGTATGAGAAAATAATTAATGGACAACAAAGACCAGCACTCACTCTCACAGTCAGGTAAATATCAGTTTTATTTCCAAAATATTAAAAAAACCAAAAAAACCTCAACGTCTCTTTCACAAAGTAATTTGAGAGGAAAAATTAAAACTTGTTGCTGTGTGAGAGTTGCTCTCGCTCCATCATGTTGTGTGAGACCTTCAATTCCAGCGGCGCATGTGTGTTTGTGTTTGTAACAAGAAACATCTTTACATCTGTACATCTGACTCGTAGTTCCCCTCTTGCTTACTGGTAGTACAGCTCAAGGTTCATCCCATCGTGGATTTCATCTGGAGAGTTTTTGGTTAAGTACAACAAAAATAATCTTGATCTTTAAATCAAGAAAAAAATATTTTTTTAACCGATTTAAACGATTTATGGATACATTTATGTTATGGATCATTGTGAGTGCAATAAAAAGAACTGCAGTTGTTCTGTGAGGGTGTAATAATGTCATGGTCATTATCATTATTAAATTAAAGGTAATCTAACTAAAACCACATAAGTATAACTACAGGAAAAAAAACCTTTAAAGGATACAGTCACCCAGAGACACGTGGTCCTTGAATATGGTGTACCTGTGGAAAACAAAGGACAACATTTAGGTCCAAATAGATGAGTTATTTGTCATCAAGCACATCAAATCCCATTTGAGCAGCTCACCATTTCTTTAACACGATCTTATCATGCCGTGTTCCTGTCTGGGCAGCTATGAGCTTCTTCAGATCTCCGATGGTATCCTCAGAGCTGAAACACCAAAGTTAAGGAAGGGCAGTGTAACAGCTTGGAAAACATCCAGAGTATTAACAAATGCGTGGTTAAAAAAATCTGAGCGTTGTCTGCTAATATCATTTTGTTTCTTTTGATCTGCAGATGGACGGTGCAGCAGCTTTGGATGCTCTGCTTTCCTCAATCAAAACACACGCAGGATGGCTAAAGTGTTCTAGCTAAACTGGTCCAACTCTCTCTGTAGCCCCGTGACAGACTGCTCCTGAACCCATTATAGGCAAAACACATCTAACACTTGATCAAACAAGATCCCTTCAAGCTGCGACACCTAGAAGTTACTGAAAATCATCAGACTTTTAGCTGATTGTCAAGTGGCGTTCATTCAAGTGGTATTATATCTGCTGTCAAGAGTTGGCAAGTGGGGGCAAGCACCATTTTTAAGCATCATTTGATGATAATAAACATAAATAGCGTCATATATTAAAAGGTAAAAGAACATGAAAGACCAAAATGTAAGACACTGACGTTTTAAATAAAGTTCACTTACAAGTAGGGCTGCCACGATTTGTCGACTAGTCACGATTACGTCGACTATCAAAATCGTCGACGACTGATTTAATAGTCGACGTGTCGTTTGAAGCTTTGTAAGATCGCAAAAGACACAGAAGTAGCAAGATTTAAGAGTAACGGACTGAAACAGAAGATGGCAGCACTGCATGTACAAGGATGCCAGCTGCCGTTAAACCCCGAAGAAGAAGAAGCAGCTGTGTCCCAGAATTCATAGCGCGGCCCAGCTTAGTTTCCAACAATGGCGGTAGCTAGTTAGTTTTAATATTACTCTTATTATTCTTTCTGGGTCACAAAATAAACGTTTAACATATTTTCAGGCGAGAATGTAGCTGTGTAAACCTCAAATATCGGCTCAGTTTATCAAGACACCACATATTTTCAAAAGCACTCCGACGTTGTCGGAGACGTCTGTTACCCACTAGCTCGATAGCTAGCCGGGGGCTAGGTCACTAGCGCCGTGAGAACACCGGACTCCCGGCAAATTGTTTTCAAACCCACCGCCTCTTTCGCGACTCAGGTTAAATATATATGAGTCACTTAGATAAATGAAAAATGTTGTTGTTTGGCTTTTTTTTTTTTTTTAGTATTTTATTTGTTCCTGAGTAAATCGGTTTGGCTGAGATTAAAGTTATAGTTTTTACACAGCTGAATAAACTAAAGCAGACAGCTGATTATCAGAAGTGTGAGATGCTGGAGAATATGCTCGGTGTCCTGTTATATTTTAGATAGCAAGGAGTTTATTAAACTTTACCGAAACAATCTGCAAATTTCATTAAAATTGAATAAACTATCATCTTGTCTTTATTTTTAGTTAGCACCTTAAAAGCTTAAAGCTGTAAGCTAATGATAGTTATATAAGAGCAGATGCTGCTGGTGCAATAAGCTGTAGTTTTACGTCCAGTGGATGATGATCTGATTAGTCGACTAATCGCATAAATAATCGGTGACTAGTCGACTACCAAAATAATCGTTTTTGGCAGCCCTACTTACAAGCTGAAATCTCAAATATGACTATTATAATCACCCACAGACTTGCAATTGTGGGATTCTGTATTAACGGAATGAAATAAGTCATAAGAAATGCCAAGATAAACAGTGACACTGAATTTTAGTCTTATAACATGCTCTAGAAACTCATATGTTAATAGATTCATTGTAAAACTATGCTCCACACCATTCTATAATATAAATGAGCTTTGCTTGCGTCTTAAAAGTAAGTCCATACTTTAAGAGCAGGGGTGCGTTGAAAGCAGATGCAGATGAATGCTGTACTGTTAAAAATCCTGACTTATGTTAACTCATCTCAAGACATCCCAGATGTCTGCACCTAAAACATTATTTTGACGTGTATGTTGAGAGACAATATTCAGCATCATTTTCAGAGTTTCAGCAAAGGATACTTGCACTTGACCCGGACTTTCTTGCCTAGACGGTCGTTGCAAACCACTTCGATCATCTTTACGTCTGCAGAAAAAAGGAAGAGATGAGACAACGTTAGACAAATGAAGGTATTAGATGATAAAGTAGGTGATAACCATAGTGAGTTTGTTTTATAGAAGACGCGCTGGAAATCACAGGCACAGAAATCTACTGAAATCAGCCAGGTTGTTTTGTTTAGCTAACGTTAGCTGTTGCTCACAACACCACGTTAATGTAACAAACGGGACTTATATTTAAATACACTCATGGGCAGCTTTATGTGTTCAAAATCCGAAACATTATGATACCGTATAAAAACCGCACGTTGAAGCTGTCATCCTTACCTTGAAACGTGCAGCAGAAAAAACAATTATTTCCTTCGCTGATATTTTCTGGAATCCTCTCGGTCCTGCTTACCGTAAAGCTGGTTTAGTTGCGAATTCGCCTTCCTACCAATCAAATGAGGACTACGATGATTGGCGATCTCGCTAGACCTATCAGAGAACAAAAATCCCCACCAAAGGCGGACCTAATACTGGAAACAACTTTTACCATAAACGTCAGGCCAACTGTCGTAATCTGCCTAGCTGCAGCTTGGTTCGTCACACGGCTTCTAGATTGAAATCAAATTTGAAAACGCTGCTGCAGAAAGCAACATGGCAGACGAGGAGAACCTACCGCCCGGATGGGAGAAAAGAATGAGCCGCAGTTCAGGTGATAAAACACGAGCCAAAAGAAGCTAAGTGTCCTAAATAGTGAGCTAAACTGCAGTGTATAGTGAACTTAGCTCAGTAGCTAGCAACCTCAGCATCGTGCATTAGTGCTGAAACGAGGTTGGAGTGACGTGTTTAATCATTGCAGTCTAAAAGCAGCGAGGGGTTAGTCGCTGCTGTCATTGTCTTTATTTAATTGTGGCGTTTTCTCAGCTTGTTTTAGGCACCTTAGCTTCATTATCGCGCCAAAGCTGATTCATTCAACCTGGCTGCGGCAGGGCCCTGCATGACGTCAGCCCGCCCCAGCACCTCACCTGCAGACTGAACGAGTCCCAGCAGTAGGACGCTTTTCAGAATGCTAAACTTATGCGTCCTCTCTCCTCCCTCCTCACGTGACACAGTTTGTCGTCATAGCTCTCGTGCTGTGGTGTTTTGTAAGGACCAGTAAATTCTAATACAGCACAGTTACACGGAGAAACACTGTAATATTTAATATACAGTTAACCTAAATGTTTTAGCATCCCTCAAGGAAGCTAATTACTTAAAAAAAAGAAGAAAGAAAAACAAAACAGTTACTGTGAGGTGAACATTGCTGGGGTCGTTGCTCAAAGTCTTAAAACACTTTTATTTAATTTGTTTTTGTTAAATTTTGCATTACCTAGTTACTCCTTGGAGAAAGTAATTTGTTAAACTACTCGTTATACTTTGCGCTACTCCACCGCAACATGACTGACAGCATGATGTGATGCATTATAAGCCTTAGGCTACATCCCACACAGTGACACAAACCCCTATCATAACGGAGGCTGCAAGTGTTTTTTTGTTTTTTTTGTTTTTTGTAGTGATAACACGTGGCAAAGTTGAAAACCAACTCAAGGAGCCTTCAGACACACACTGATTCTACTGTTGAAACATGTACAGGTAGAAATGGAGGCTGAGCCTGATGGCTCATCACTTCCTTTATTACCCGTTGGGCTCTGGCTGCTGACTAAGGGTCAGGATACACCGACTCTGGGTTCTTCACCGTGAAGATGTTTGTAAAAAGATGTTGCGTTAACAGTATACTGCAGCAGTTTCTGCTCTGGATGCAGTTTGTGCTTCGTGATCTCATCCTTTCATTCAATGAAATGGCAACATCACCACTTCTCAAATGTTGTAAACTGCTCCACCATTTTCCTCCTCCCTGCAAAAATCTGAACTCAGCTGACAGCAGCACAGGAAGAAAACTGCTGGTTTGATTTTTTTTTTTTTTCCTCTCTTTTCGTTCAATCTGCCCATTGCTGAGATAATTGAAGAACCTTTTCAATGCAAATAGTGAAATGATGTAATGCAGTTGCTGAAATTAGTACAGTGATATGTTACAGTACTGCCTGTCTTGTTACCTTGTAGCCTGTTATATCAAAGACTAATAACGATAAGTAAGGAAGTAACAATAATGCAAGTAAATAAATAAAAGGTAAATATTTGGAAGATATAAAATAAAAAATACTAATATTTTTTTTTTTTAGCATATCTAAAGATGGCTCGAGAGATTTTTTATTTTATTTTTTATTTTATTTTATTTTTTTAATTGGCCTGTTAGAGATTTGAATGACTTTCAGACTGTGAAGGGAAAGCTGCTTTAAGCTTTGAAATTGTTCTTAAGTGAGGGCTTGTGTGGGAGTCTCTGAGTTGGACAGGTGGCCCAGCTGTGCACCGTGACTCACTCTACACTGACGATAAAACCACAAAGTTCTCATTTAGCAACAGCAGCTCCTCCATCGACACGTACCTCCTTCACATCTCTCTGAGATGGCTAGGATGAGCTGTCTCCTAGTGACAGTGCTAGCAACTAGTTGCCAACTAGTACTGGACAACAAGCTAATTGCTTTATATGAAGATGGAGCCTGACCAGAGGAAGAAAGAAGGCATGCTTGAGTCATGGAAAGCACCCAAAGCGTATAAAAGCTGGGCAGAGCCACTTTAATGTCACCCCGTGGTTTGTGGGCACCAGCTTTGAAACTTGCAGTGTGGCAGTTGGGCTTTCACCATCTTGGTCTTATGAAACCACACATGAAAATGTTAGCACTGCAAAAGAGCCGATCAGTGAACATTAGCGGTAGCAGGGTTGTGTGTCAGAGCGTATACCATTTAGCAGTTTACCTGGAAGTCTTTATTTGCAAAGATAAAAACAGTCGGGTTTCATGATGTTGGACTGCAGCTTTAAGGTCACATTTGGCCTAATAAATGAATCAGTGGTCCGTGAAAACAGTCTTAAAATAAGAATTACTTTTAAAACAGAAGAAACTGTATAGTTGACTCAGTGTTTGTTAAGTACAATCGAATCCTAAACTAGAGAAAGGTGCTTCTTTTAAAAGTGTACGGCCTCAGCAGCATTTTTTTTTTTCTTTTACACCTTTTTGCTGAAAGGCCGTGAAGGATTCAAAGGTGGTTCTTCTATGAAGACATCCTGCGATATTTATTTTCTCCTGTGCAGATGGCCTTTAATGTCTAATATAAAAGGCTTCGCTCATAGTTGTAAACTCACACAATAAGCTTTTTTTAGTCAGTTTGGTTATTGTGGCTTTTTGATAGCATCTCTGATCCTTTTCTCTCATTACCTTTATTTACAGTCATGGCAGGAAGCAGTTTGGTTGTTTTTTGTTTTTTGTTTTTTTTTTTTTTTTTAGCAGCTCACTACAGTGGCTTACACACATCATCAGTGATCAGCTGTCAAAGAAAGGTGGACATTTAGCAGCTTAAATGATGGCTCTAAGGCTACGTTCACACTGCAGGCGACAGCGCATCAAATCAGATTTTTCTGACCCTGTGCGACCCATATCCGATCATGCTATGACAGTGTGAACGGCACAAATCCGATCTGGGTCACTTTCGTATGTGGTACTGAATCCGATACATATCCGATGTTTTAGAAAGCGACTGCTGTTTGAACGGTCAGGTCGCATTAAATCCGTCTTTTACGTCACCGACACAAGACAGACGACAATTATCAGCGCCGGAGAAGCGCCCAATAAGACATCGCGAATGCTTCCTGGCCATCCCGTGTAGATGTCAGTGAAACTGTTGGGACGACAACGTTGGAGAAACGTGAACATTTTATTTGTACTGTATAATCTGCAGATTCTGAAAGAAATCTGCAGCTATCCTTTGAAGCACCGCTCCTCTCTAAAACAGCAATAAGGATCATTATTAGGTTATCTACATTATTATGTAAATAACAAAATAACTTAAAGCAAAAATTGGATTTAATCAAAAAATCGGAATTGAGCATTAAGACCTGCAGTGTGAACGTAGCCTAACTGTGTACTCCAGGATAACTTGTTAGGTTCAGCGTCGGCCATCCCTGTGTAAAACTCAAGTCTTAGACATTTTCGTGTGAAGTGAGGCCAGTTGCTGTAGCACAGTATCCTGTACTGGGTGAATGGGTAGCTGCAGAGTCCGTGTTGTGTTTACATGTGTTTAAAAAGATCTTAATAAAGCTTAATGAATTTACTGGTTCTCTGTCATTACTTCAACAGGCAAAGTGTACTACTTCAACCACATCACTAATGCCAGCCAGTGGGAACGTCCAGTGGGAGACGGACGTGGCGAGCCAGATAAGGTTGTGTGTAATGTTTAGTTTTGTTTTGTTTTTTTTGATGCACGTGATGAGTCAGTGCTACTTTCCCTAAAGAGGTACTGAAACACATTTTACACGGCATGTTCAGATTCCAGCTAGGGTACTAGTAATGCCTGCAAATTATTTATGATTCGACAACTATTGTGAAAAATCATTTTGGCCGGGGGATAGCGTTCTCCAGGATAACATTTGAAATGTTCCTGTAAGACATCAGGGAGCTGCCTGCAATATGACACGTATGCATTTAAATAGTGATAGGAGGAACGGTGCAGAGAAATGGAATCCAGTCATTAACAGTATTTAATATTTCACATGATTATTAATAAAGACTGATGGACAACTGTGTGCTTTTACTTAGCTAATGGTTATCGTCATTGCTGATCAGTATGTATCTTATCTTATCACAATACTTAGTTATGAAGCAGACAGGGGAAAAAAACAATCAACAGCACCACCTGGTGGACTGAAACAGTAATTAATTTTATTATTCTAGGACTAAGCAGTTTAGTTTTTTCTTTTACACTTGCGACTTATGTAATGTTGATTGGTGTTCTTGTATGTTCATGACATCTGGTGGAAGGTCAAAGGAAGAACTAGTCAAATGTAGTTGTAGGGCTGCATGACTTGCTGTAAAGTTGAAATTCTGCCATCCAAATTGTAAAGTGGTTCTGATACTCCAACATCTGGAGTGTTAACACACAAATACTGATATATTTGTATATGTATATATTTTTTAAAATTCAGGTACGCTGCTCTCATCTCTTGGTGAAGCATAATCAGTCGCGTCGTCCATCTTCCTGGAGGGAACAAAACATTACACGATCTAAAGATGAGGCCTTGGATTTGATTCAGAGTAAGTAAGGCAGCATGGAGAGGAGATTTTACGAAGTCTGATGAATGCATTTAATATCTTCTGTCTTCTGTGCAGAGTACATAGAACAGATCAAGTCTGGACAGGAGAAGTTTGAGTCCCTGGCATCTCAGTTTAGCGACTGCAGCTCCGCTAAGAATGGTGGAGATCTGGGACTGTTTGGTAGAGGTATGCACGGCGTGATGTCATTCTCTGTTCAGTGCAGTCTCTCATTCAGCATCTCCTTCATCTGTCTTTCTGAATAAAACGAAATCCTGCACA